GGTATTGCACCACCTGACACCCGCCGGGAAGGAGCAGGCAATAGTGAAAGGACCAAGGCAGAGACACCTCCAGCTCATCCCCTGTTTGGGTATCAGCCAGCACGCCAACGACTTAAATCTAGAAATAGTTTTCTAAGATCTACAGAGACACTTGCTGGAACACCTCAACAAGCGAGAGTCCAAAAGTGGCAGGCTCAAACCCAGAACCTCAATCAATGGCTGATACCCAATGAGAGACTCCCCCCTGGGCACACAGAAAACTGGGCGACTTGGAAGGCGCTGAACAGACTGCGCTCTGGCACCACGCGATGCAGAGCCAACCTCAAGTAATGGGGCCACAAAGTGGAATTCACGACATACGAGTGTGGAGAAGAGCAAACCACTGACCACCTGCTGCAATGAAACCTGAGCCCTGCCACATGATGCATGATGGAGGACCTTCTTGCGGCAACACACACACACACACACACTATATTATTAGCATATCAGTATTAAAAACTACTATATTGTACTATACCATTATATTGTAATATTATTACAATATTAATATACTAATAATATTACTATATTAATATTGTAATAATATTATTACAATAGTAATAATAATATTACTAGTAATATTACATGTAATATAAATATATAATTATACTATCGTATTATTATTAGTATTATATTGCACTACATTATAATGTTATAAACATTATATGTATATCTATATAAATAAAAATGTAATGTTCGTTTGTGGGATTCACAAAACTCAAAAACCACTGGACGAATTGACACCAAATTTGGGCACAAGACACCTAACAACCCAATGTATGTCCTTCACTCAAAAAAATTGATTTTGTCACTTGGGAGTTGTAGTTGCTGGGATTTATAGTTCACCTACAATCAAAGAACATTTTGAACCCCACCAACGAGGGAATTGAACCAAACCTGGCACACAGTTCTCCCAAGACCAGCAGACAATACTGGAAGGGTTTGGTGGGCATTGACCTTGAGTTTGGGAGTTGTAGTTCACCTGCTTCCAGAGATCACTGTGGACTCCCAGAGCCGTGATTTCACTTCTGCAGGGCCATCCACATATTTCCTTCCAAGGTTTCGCCCCCAATTATATGACATTGTTCATCATCCAGTGGTCAGGTGGGCACTTAACATTTGGAAAGAGCGTGACGGAGGAAAGGTGGCCACTGCCCTGTCATCTGATTCAAAGGTTTCTTTGGAGGCCTCATTAACCTCTTGGACAGAGACAATCCCTTGACATTTAGCAGCACAAATTAACATTAACGGGGAAATGTCTTCACCAATGACTTCCTCCCTTGTCGTGACCTCCATTATTTTGGGATGCAAGGGAGAATGTGTTGATATTATTGTGTAAAGTCCATAGAGAAGTACAGAGACCATTTCTCCCATTATTATTATTATTATTATTATTATTATTATTATTATTATTTGTTGCCTACCTGTCCGGAAGGTAGGTTACCACACTGTGAAAGTATAGATAAGTATAAGGACTGTTTCTCCCATTATTATGGGACACAAGAGAGAATGTTCCCATCTCCTTAGCAGTATCATTATTATTATTATTATTATTATTATTATTATTTGTTGCCTACCTGTCCTCAAGGTAGGTTACTACACTGTGAAAAATACATAGAAAAATACAGAGACAGTTTCTCTCAATACTTTGGGATGCAAAGGAGAATGTGCCAATCCCCTTGGCATTGTTGTTGTTGTTATTATTATTATTATTATTATTATTATTATTATTATTATTTGTCCACCTGTTCTCAAGGTAAGTTACCACACTGTGAAAGTACATAGATAAAGTCACAATTGACCTAAGATGAAAACACATTAAAACGGGTCATACAAATACTAATAATAATAATAATTATTATTATTATTATTTTATTTTATTTTTTTATCGTGTCAGTTTCATCCAGACAATTGTATTCCATTTTTAACAAACAGACAAAACACAGCAATGCGTGGCGGGTACAGCTAATAATATAATATATTGTATGTATACATATCTTGTAAGCTGCTCCGAGTCCCCTTCGGGGTGAGAAGGGCGGCATATCAATGTCATAAATAAATAAATATACACACATATATACACACACAAAACACATATACACAGACTGGTCCACAGTAACATGTGGCAGGGGACGGCTAGTGGCTAAGTACGGAGCTGCTCCCACCCAAAAGCACACGACAGCAATGCCTTCGTGTGCTAATTTCGCCTCTTATCTCCCTCCCAAGCTTGACAACGGACCAAGGAATCAAACCACGTCACGATCTGCCACCGCCGGGCTCGATATTTCAACCCGAACACAGGCCGTTTGGCGGTGGAGGAGGCGCATAAATCAGAATGGCTTGGCCTCAAAACAATGTCAAGGCGGCTGTTGCTTTGAACTCGGGACAGGAGATAAAAGCGGCCGAGAACGGGGAGAGGAAAGATTAGGGAATATTAATTAAAAGCAAAGGGACGGCAGGACAGGCTTGCGGAGGAGGCAATGTCCACTATCGTGTCCGTTATTCTTCGGGATGTGTTTTCGCAGGGCCAATATTCCACACATATACAGTATTAACCCCATTTTCCTAGTTTTTAATAAACCTCACAACCTCTGAGGATGCCTGACATACAGCCCGAAAAACAACAAGATTAGTCCACAACAAACAAACTCTGCTGGCTTTTGTGTTGGGCAAGTGCAGGCCAAAGTCTTTAGGCACTACGCCCAGTGTGCCGATCACCACTTAGACCACCTTTACTGGCTTGTTCTAAGATTTTCACAAATCCCGATGACATCTAGACATTTGATGATCCAACAATGTGGCAGTGAGTCAAATGTTTTATTATTATTATTATTATTATTATTATTATTATTATTATTAGAAACACAACATGATGGCATTGCCATCGTCGGGACCGCTGAGTGGATCGCAAGGGGGGTGTCAGACGGGTCACCAAAGACCATCTCAAAACACAGTATTTTGTGTTGACTATGGGGCTTCTGTGTGGTATGTTTGGCTTAATTCTACCATTGGTAGGGTTCAGAATGCTCTTTGATTGCAGGTGAATCCCAGCAACTATAGCTCCCAAATATCAAGGTCTATTTCCACCAAACTCCACCACTGTTCACGTTTGGCCATATTGAGCATTCATGCCAAGTTTGGTCCAGATCGATCACTGTTTGAGTCCACAGTGCTCTCTGGATGTAGGTGAACTACAACTCCAAAACTCTATGCCCATCAAATCCTTCCAGTATTTCCTATTAGTAATGTTAGTTCTGTATGCCAAGTTTAGTTCAATTTCATCATTAGTGGAGTCCAGAATTTATTTATTTACCTCTTTGATTGTAGGTGAACTATAAATCCCATCAACTACAACTCCCAAATGACAAAATCTCCCCCCCCCCCCCAACCCCACCAGTATTCAAATTTAGGTCTATCGGGCATTTTTGCCAAATTTGGTTCAATGAATGAAAATACAAACTGCATATCAGATATGCTACAAAACAGGAACTTTTTTGTTGAGTTCCAGGTCCAGAGAAGCAGATGGCGGAAACAGAAGAACGGCCTGCCTCAGGGGAGCGTGCTTGCTCCATCCATGTTCAACATCTACACAAATGACCAGCCACTGCCAGAAGGGACAGAGAGTTTTATCTATGCTGATGATCGTGCCATTACTGCTCAAGCAGGGAGCTTTGAGATGGTAGAACAGAAGCTTTCTGAAGCAGGTGCTCTTACTGCCTATTACAGGGAAAACCAGCTGATCCCTAACCCATCTAAAACACAGACATGTGCCTTTCACCTTAAGAACAGACAAGCATCCCGAGCTCTGAGGATTATCACCTGGGAAGGAATCCCACTGGAGCATTGCAGCGCACCCAAATACCTGGGAGTCACTCTGGACCGTGCTCTGACCTACAAGAAGCACTGCCTGAACATCAAGCAAAAAGTGGGCGCTAGAAACAATATCATACGAAGGCTGACTGGCACAACCTGGGGATCACAACCAGACACAGTGAAGACATCTGCCCTTGCGCTATGCTACTCTGCTGCTGAGTATGCATGCCCAGTGTGGAACACATCTCAGTGGATGTGGCTCTGAATGAGACATACCGCATTATCACGGGGTGCCTACGCCCTACACCACTGGAGAAATTACACTGCTTAGCCGGTATTGCACACCTGACATCCGCCGGGAAGTAGCAGCCAATAGTGAAAGGACCAAGGCAGAGACATCTCCAGCTCATCCCCTGTTTGGGTATCAGCCAGCACGTCAATGACTTAAATCAAGACATAGTTTTCTTAGATCTACAGAGACACTCGCTGGAACACCTCAGCAAGCGAGAGTCCAAAAGTGGCAGGCTCAAACCCAGAACCTCAACCAATGGCTGATACCAATTGAGAGACTCCCCCTGGGCACACAGAAGACGGGGCGACTTGAAAGGCGCTGAACAGACTGCGCTCTGGCACCACGCGATGCAGAGCCAACCTCAAGTAATGGGGCCACAAAGTGGAATCCACGACATGCGAGTGTGGAGAAGAGCAAACCACTGACCACCTGCTGCAATGCAACCTGAGCCCTGCCACATGCACAAAGGAGGACCTTCTTGCGGCAACACCAGAGGCACTCCAAGTGGCCAGATACTGGTCAAAGGACATTTAATCAACTACCAAGCTTGCAAATTTTGTATTATGTCTGTTTGTTTGCTTTGTTCTGTTAGAAATGTAATATAATTGACTGGCTGCCCTGACATGACAAATAAACAAATAAAAAATATTAGTAGCATTATATGGTATTACATAATAATATTATAAATATTATATGTATATATAATATAATATAATATATTATTAGAATATTTATTTATTTATTTATTTACTTTGCTTCTATACGGCTGTATCTCAAGCCCGAAGGCGACTCACAGCGGTTCACAAACAGTAAAAACAGTAGAAACAGCAGTGGTTCCATACAACATATAACAATTGACTTAACACATTATCCATAAATTACCAATAAGCAGTTACAATGCACAATTATTACGAAAAACAACCGTACCCAATCTTCTCATCATCCAAGCGTAGTCCAGGTTCGTCGTCCCTTGTTCCATTCCTATCTTCCATTACCAATCATTGCACTAATTATTCGAATGCCTGCTCAAACAGCCAGGTCTTCACTTTTTTGCGGAATACCATTAGAGATGGTGCTAGTCTAATGTCCGTAGGAAGGGCGTTCCACAGCCGAGGAGCCACCACCGAGAAGGCCCTATCTCTCGTCCTCGCCAGCCGAGCTTGAGAAGCAGGCGGGATCGAGAGCAGGGTCTCCCCGGAAGATCTCAAAGTCCTGGTGGGTTCATAGGCAGAGATGCGGTCAGATAGGTAGCTTGGGCCGGAACCGTTTAGGGCTTTAAAGGCCAACGCCAGCACTTTGAATTCAGCCCGGTAGCAGATCGGTAGCCAGTGGAGTTGGCGCAACAGGGGGGTTGTATGCTCCCTGCGCTCCGCTCCTGTTAAAATCATGGCTGCCGAGCGTTGGACTAGTTGGAGCTTCCGAGCTGTCTTCAAAGGCAACCCCACGTAGAGAGCGTTGCAGTAGTCTAAACGCACAGGAGACAAGGTGGAACATTAAACATTAATATATTTTATTAATATGTTTAATGGTTTTAAATTGTATTTATATGTCTATTGTTTCTAGTGATTTAATGTTACGTTTTACATGGATTGTATCATGAGACATTGGATTTTTGCCTAGAGGTATGTTGTACACCGTTCTGAGTCTCCTTAAGGGTGAAAATAATGACAGAAATGAAGTAAATAAATAATACTCTGCTGTACCTTAGCGAGGAGGGTCTTTTGTTAATAAGCCCACCTGCCCAACCATCTTCCCAGAGACCTTTCCCTTCTCTTTTCTGACTGCCGAGTCAAATCCTTACACGAGAAAAAGGCTTTTCAAGGCAGATAACACCCCAAAGGAGGAAGGCAAGGTAGCCACCAAAACCGAAGCCTTTCCAGGTCAACAAAGCAAGGGACGTTACCTTCTGTGCTTGAGCCGGCTCCGTGAGGATGAGGGTGAACAGCCCCAGGCACACCTCCTCGTGCTGGGGGGCTCCTTTGCAAACCTGAAGAGAGGAGAGGGCGAGACAGGAGTGACCCAACCGCAGACCAAATCTGCCCGTCCCCAACAGAGACGGATCCGCCTGTATTGCAGATGAGTGACCCCAAAGGCCATTCATAATAATAATAATAATAATAATAATAATAATACTTTATTTGTACCCCGGCACCGTCTCTGCAACAGAACGTGGGACGGCTCACAGAAGCACTCCAAGTGCCAACCCAAGCCCTCCCAATGGATGGCCATCCAGCCTCTGCTTGAAAACCTCCAGAGAAGGAGACCCAAAGGGTACATTTTGGACTGGAGTCCAACAAAAGCTTTTCTGCAAGGATCTTCTGTGATTCCCAATGCTCTTTTGAGATGTCGAGACAGACGAACGCAGCAATGGCATCGAATACGGGAGACTTACGTGAGCATTGAGGGCGTCATTGGCTTCTCTCTCCGAGACCCCGCTGGTGAGCGACGTGACGGTGCCCATGCATCGCTCCAGCCGCTGAAAAAGGAGCAAAGAAACCCAGTTATGGCCAGGAAAAACAAGTGGGCATTTCCTGTTTGGGTCCACACCATTATTATTACTATTATTATTATTATTATTATTATTATTATTATTAGCCGTCCCCTGCCACGCATTGCTGTGGCCCACATGGGGGTTCTGTGTGGGAGGTTTGGATCAATTCTATCGTTGGTGGGGTTCAGAATGCTCTGTGATTGTAGGTAAACTATAAATCCCAGCAACCAAAACTCCCAAATGCCAAGATTATATTTTCCCCAAACTTCACCAGTGTTCACATCTGGGCATATTGAGTATTTGTGTAGAGTTTGGTCCAGATCCAGCATTGTTTGAGTCCACAGTGATCTCTGGATGTAGGTGAACTACAACTCCAAAACCAAAGGGCATTGCTCACCAAACCCTTCCAGTATTTTTGGTTGGTCATGGGAGAACTGTGTGCCAAGTTTGGTTCAATTGCATCATTGGTGGGGTTCAGAATGCTCTTTGATTGTAAGTGAACTATAAATCCCAGTAACTACAATTCCCAAAGGTCAAGATTCTATTTTCCCCAAACTCCACCAGTGTTCACATCTGGGTACATTGAGTATTCGTGTAGAGTTTGGTCCAGATCTATCATTATTTGAGTCCATAGTGATCTCTGGATGTAGGTGAACTACAACTCCAAAACCAAAGGACACTGCCCACCAAACCCTTCCAGTATTTTCAGTTGGTCATGGGAGAACTGTGTGCCTAGTTTGGTTCAATTCCATCATTGGTGGGGTTCAGAATATTCTGTGATTGTAGGAGAACTATAAATCCCAGTAACTACAACTCCCAAATGTCAAGATTCTATTTTCCCCAAACTCCACCAGTGTTCACATTTGGGAATATTGAGTATTCGTGCCCAGTTTGGTCCAGATCCATCATTGTTTGAGTCCATAGTGATCTCTGGATGTAGGTGAACTACAACTCCAAAACTCAAGGTCAATGTTCACCAAACCCTTCCAGTATTTTCTGTTAGTCATGGGAGCCCTGTGTGCCAAGTTTGGTTCAATTCCATCCTTGGTGGGATTCAGAATGCTCTTTGATTGTAGGCGAACTATAAATCCCAGCAACTACAACTCCCAAATGACAAAATCAATATTTTTTTTAGTGAAGGACATACATTGGGTTGTTAGGTGTCTTGTGTCCAAATTTGGTGTCAATTCATCCAGTGGTTTTTGAGTTCTGTTAATCCCACAAACTAACATGACATTTTTATTTATATAGATGACTGAAAGAAGGGAAGGTGAAGGTAGAAGAAGAGAAGAGGAAGGAGAGAAGAAAGAGGAAGCCCAGAGCATGACTGTGGCCACCTTGTGCGATTATTATAACTATTTATATATTATATATTATTATTATTCTGATTCTTCCCTCCTTGGACCTACGTCTTCTAAGTCATCCTTAGCATCCAAACTGGTCCGTATCAGCAACTTGTGGTTTCCCCCCCCCCCCAACTTAAGTATATGACTCTTATTGGACAGAGAGGAAAGCGACATATTGCTTTGTTGTTGTTGTTGTTGTTGTTGTTGTTCATTCGTTCAGTCGTCTCCGACTCTTCGTGACCTCATGGACCAGCCCACGCCAGAGCTCCCTGGCGGCCGTTACCACCCCCAGCTCCCTCAAGGTCAGTCCAGTCACTTCAAGGATGCCATCCATCCATCTTGCCCTTGGTCGGCCCCTCTTCCTTTTGCCTTCCACTTTCCCCAGCATAATTGTCTTCTCTAGGCTGTGCTGTCTCCTCATGATGTGGCCAAAGTACTTCAACTTTGTCTCTAGTATCCTTCCCTCCAATGAGCAATCGGGCTTTATTTTCTGAAGTATGGACTGGTTGGATCTTCCTGCAGGTCAAGGCACTCTCCGAATTTTCCTCCAACACCACAATTCAAAAGCATCTATCTTCCTTTGCTCAGTCTTCCTTATGGTCCAGCTCTCACATCCGTAGGTTACTACGGAATACCATGGCTTTGACTAGGCGGATCTTTGTTGCCAGTCTGATGTCTCTACTCTTTACTATTTTATCGAGACTGGACATTGCTCTCTCCCAAGAAGTAAGCGTCTTCTGATTTCCTGGCCACAGTCTGCGTCTGCAGTAATCTTTGCACCTAGAAATACAAAGTCTGTCACGGCCTCCACATTTTCTCCCTCTATTTCCCAGTTGTCAATCATTCTTGTTGCCATAATCTTGGTTTTTTTGACGTTTAGCTGCAACCCGGCTTTTGCGCTTTCTTCTTGATTAGAAGGCTCCTCAGCTCCTCCTCGCTTTCGGCCATCAGAGTGGTGTCATCTGCATATCTGAGGTTGTTAATGTTTCTTCCAGCAATTTTCACCCCAGCTTTGCATTCATCCAGCCCCGCACATCGCATGATGTGTTCTGCATACAAGTTAAAAAGGTTGGGTGAGAGGATGCAGCCTTGCCGTACGCCTTTCCCAATCTTGAACCAGTCTCCTGTTCCGTGGTCAGTTCTGACTGTTGCTACTTGGTCCTTGTACAGATTCCTCAGGAGAGAGGGAAGGGGGCTTGGGATGCCCATCCCACCAAGAACTTGCCACATTTATTATGATCCACACAGTCAAAGGCTTTAGAATAGTCAATGAAGCAGAAGTAGATGTTTTTCTGAAACTCCCTGCCTTTCTCCATTCTCCAGCATCCGGATATTGGCAATCTGGTCTCTCGTTCCTCTGCCTTTTCTAAACCCAGCTTGAACATCTGGCAACTCTCGCTCCATGTATTGCTGGAGTCTTCCTTGCAGGATCTTGAGCATTACCTTACTGGCATGAGAAATAAGGGCCAGTGTACGGAAGTTTGAGCAGTCTTTCGCATTTCCCTTTTTTGGTATGGGGATATAAGTTGATTTTTTCCAGTCTGATGGCCATTCTTGTGTTTTCCATATTTGCTGGCATATGGCATGCATCACATTGACAGCATCATCTTTTAAGATTTTAAACAGTTCAGCTGGGATCCCGTCGTCTCCTGCTGCCTTGTTGTTAGCAATGCTTCTTAAGGCCCATTCAACCTCACTCCTCAGGATGTCTGGTTCTACTTCATTCACCACACCGTCAAAACTATCCTCAATATTATTATCCTTCCTATACAGATCTTCTGTATAGTCTCGCCACCTTCTCTTGATCTCTTCAGCTTCTGTTAGGTCCCTGCCATCTTTGTTCTTATCATACCAATTTTTGCCTGAAATTTACCTCCAATGTTTCTAATTTTCTGGAAGAGGTCTCTTGTCCTTCCTATTCTGTTGTCTTCTTCCACTTCCATGCATTGCTTGTTTAAAAATAGTTCCTTATCTCTTCTGGCTAACCTCTGGAATTGCGCATTTAACTGGGCATATCTCCCCTTCTCCCTGTTTCCTTTTGCTTTCCTCCTTTCTTGGGCTACTTCCAGTGTCTCAGCAGACAACCATTTTGCCTTCTTGGTTTTCTTTTTCTTTGGGACCTACTTTGTTGCCGCCTCCTGAACAATGTCTCGGACTTCTGTCCATAGTTCTTCTGGGACTCTGTTTACTAAATCTAGTCCTTCAAATCTGTTCTTCACTTCCACTGTATATTCGCTAGGAATGTTAGTGAGATCATATCTCACTGGTCTGTGTATTTTCCCTGATCTCTTTAGTTTTATTCTAAATTTGGCAATAAGAAGTTCGTGATCTGAGCTACAGTCAGCCCCAGGTCTTGTTTTCACCGACTGGATGGATGTCCGCCACCTTTGGCTGCAAAGGATGTAGTCAATCTGATTTCGGTGTTGACCATCTGGTGAGGTCCATGTATAAAGCCGTCTTTTAGGTTGTTGGAGGAGAGTATTCGTTATACACAGCGAGTTTTCCTGGCAGAATTCTATCAGCCTGCGTCCCGCTTCATTTTGTTATTATGATTAATTCCCTCCTTGGACCTACCTCTTATATATTGTTATTATGATTATTATGATTATTATGTTGATATTATTATTATTATTATTATTATTATATTCCCCCTTGAACCTACCTTTTCTAACTCATCCTTGGCATCCTAACTAGTGCGAATCAGCAACTTGTCATCTCCCCCAATTTAACTAGTGTGAAAAGTGAAGTATAAGATTCTTATTGGACAGACAGGAAAGCGATATATGGTTATTATGATTATTATATTGATTATATTATTATTATTATTACTATTACTATTATTATTATTATTCCCTCCTTGGACCTACCTCTTCTAACTCATCCTTGGCATCCAAATTAGTGCAGATTAGCAATTTGTCGTCTCCCCCAACTTAACTAGTGTGAAAAGTTGACTATATGGATCTTATTAACAGAGAGGAAAGCAGTATATTGTTATTATGACTATTATGTTGATTATCATTATTATTATTATATTATTATTATTATTCCCCCTTGAACCTATCTTTTCTAACTCATCCTTAGCATCCTAACTGGTCCGTATTAGCAACTTGTGGCCCCCCCAACTTAAGTATAAGACTCTTATTTGACAGAGAGGAAAGCAGTATATTGTTATTATGATTATTATGTTGATTATATTATTATTATTATTATTATTATTATTATTATTAATTATTATTCCCTCCTTGGACCTACCTCTTCTAACTCATCCTTGGCATCCAAATTAGTGCAAATCAGCAACTTGTCATCCACCCCAACTTAAGTAGTGTGAAAAGTGGAGTATAAGACTCTTATTTGACAGAGAGGAAAGCAGTATATTGTTATTATGATTATCATGTTGTGTATATATATGTATATGTATGTGTGTGTGTATATATATAATTCCCTCCTTAGACCTACCTCTTCTATATTGTTATTATGATTATTATGTTGTGTATATGTATGTGTGTGTGTGTGTGTGTGTGTGTGTGTAATTCCCTCCTTGGACCTATCTCTTCAATATTGTTATTATGATTATTATATTGTTGATGATAAGTATTATTATTATTATTATATTTTGTTTCCCCTTGAACCTACCTTTTCTAACTCATCCTTGGCATCCAAACTGCTCCATATCAGCAACTGGTGGTGCCCCCAACTTAAGTATAAGACTCTTATTTGACAGAGAGGAAAGCGGTATACTGTTATTATGATTATTACATTGAGTATATATTATTACTATTATTATTACGATTCTTCCCTCCTTGGACCTACCTCTTCTAACTCATCCTTGGCATCCTAACTAGTATAGATCAGCAACTTAACTAGTGCGAAAAGTGGAGTATAAGACTCTTATTGGACAGAGAGGAAAGCAGTATATTGTTATTATGATTATTATGTTGATTTATTATTATTATTTTATTCTCCACAGTATATTGTTATGATTTTTATGTTGATTGTATTATTATTATTATTCCCTCTTGGACCTATCTCTTCTCACTCATCCTTCGCATCCTAAGTAGTGCAGATCTGCAACTTGTCATCTCCCCCAACTTGTGTGAAAAGTGGAGTATAAGACTCTTATTTGATTATATATTATTATGATTATGATTCTTTCCTCCTTGGACCTACCTCTTCTAACTCCTCCTTGGCATCCAAACTGGTCCATATCAGCAACTTGTGGCCCCCCAACTTAAGTATAAGACTCTTATTGGACAGAGAGGAAAGCAATTTACTGTTATTATGGTTATTATGTTGATATTATTATTATATATTATGATGATTCTGATCCTTCCCTCCTTGGACCTACCTCTTCTAATTCATCCTTAGCATCCAAACTGGTGTAGATCAGCAACTTGTGGCCCCCCAACTTAAGTATATCACTCTTCTTGGATAGAGAGGAAAGCGGTATACTGTTATTATGATTATTGTGTTGTGTGTGTGTATATATATATGTGTGTGTGTGTGTGTGTGTATAATTCCCTCCTTGGACCTACCTCTTTTATATTGTTATTATGATTATTATGTTGTTGATGATTAGTGTTATTATTATTATATTTTGTTCCCCCTTGAACCTACCTTTTCTAACCCCCCTTATTTGACAGAGAGGAAAGCGGTATATTGTTATTGTTATTATTATTATTATTCCCTCCTTGGACCTACCTCTTCTAACTCATCCTTGGCATCCAAACTGGTGCACATCAGCAACTTGTGTCCCCCCAACTTAAGTATAGGACTCTTATTGGACAGAGAGGAAACCGGTATATTGTTATTATGATTATTATATTGATTATATATTATGATGATGATTCTGATCCTTCCCTCCTTGGACCTACCTCTTCTAACTCATCCTTGGCATCCTAACTAGTACAGATCAGCAACTTAACTGGTGCGAAAAGTGGAGTATATGACTCTTATTGACAGAGAGGATAGCGGTATATTGGTATTATGATTATTATGTTGATTATATATATATAGAGAGAGAGAGAGAGAGAGTCCTAGAATCCTAGAGTTGGAAGAGACCTCCTGGGCCATCATCCAGTCCAACCCCATTCTGCCAAGAAGCAGGAATATTGCATTCAAAACACCCCTGACAGATGGCCATCCAGCCTCTGTTTCAAAGCTTCCAAAGAAGGAGCCTCCACCACACTCCCTCTGGGGCAGAGAGTTCCACTGCTGAACGGCTCTCGCAGTCAGGAAGTTCTTCCTCATGTTCAGATGGAATCTCCTTTCTTTCTATTATATTGATTATATATTATTATTATTATTATTATTATTATTATTATTATATATTATGATGATGATTCTGCTCCTTCCCTCCTTGGACCTACCTCTTCTAACTCATCCTTGGCATCCAAACTGGTGTAGATCAGCAACTTGCCTCCTGTGGCCGGGGTGGCACCCCCTTTCCCCTTCTGCGCCTCCATGGCCACCTTGTTTTGGGGGCCCCCTTTCCTTCCTGGGGAGCCCCCTCCAAAACCAGGCTTCTCCCCCTCTTCCTTTCCCCAAGGGGATCCTGGGGGGCCCTCAGACCTGGATGGGGCAAGGGCCAAGCCCAATGGGGAGGGGATCCCCCCTTCTGCTTCCCAACCTTACACTGAAGAGGTGGGGGAGGGGTAAAAGGGGGTGCTTTGCCTTTAAATGACTGAAATCCAATTTGGGGGGTAGACTGTGCTTGAGGAGGGAGGCTTGTCACTCTGCTGCCTCAAGGGGCGGGGCCTAAAGAGGAAGGGGCGGGGCTTGGGCCCCCAGAGGGCGGGGCTCCTCCTGAGGAAACCCCAAAAGGGCCCAAAAAGGGGTCCCTAGCCCAGTGAGGGGGGGCCCTGAGGGAAGGAGGGAGGGGGGAGGCCCAAGACCGGAAGTGGCTCGCTGTGGGGGGAAACAAACGAGCGAGTTGTGCGAGCCAGGGGAAGGAAGAGCGGGCGCCGGAACCGGAAAAGCCCGCCTGGGGAAGCGCCGCCAATCAGAGCGCGGGGGCGGGACGTAGAGCGGCGCGCGCCGGCCAATCGGCGCCGAAGGGGCGTGGCTTCGAAGGGATGCGCCGTAGACTTAGTAAAAAGTCAAGAGTGATACCTCCCTTTAGGTTTTCAGTCCTGCAAACTATTCCGGGAATGCTTCAAAGAGATAGTTTTCCTATAGTATCTATAGATAGAGAGGATAGAGAGATATTATGTAGGATAGATAGATAGATAGATAGATAGATAGATAGATAGATAGATAGATAGATAGATAGATAGATAGATAGATAGATAGATAGATAGATAGATAGATAGATAGAGATAGATAGATAGATAGATAGAGTCTAGATAGATAATATAGATAGATATTATGTAGTATATATAGTATATAGTATATATGGAAATACATAGTATATATAGATGTAGTCTAGATAGATAGATATAGATAGATATTATGTAGTATATATAGAATGATTGGATAGATAGATAGATAGATATAGTAAAGATACTATCCATATTATATATGGATAGATAGTATATATGGATATAGTATACATAGATAGTATAGATATTATGTAGTATATATAGAAAGATAGTATAGATAAATAGTATATATAGATATAGTCTAGATAGATAATATACATAGATATTATGTAGTATATATGGATAGATAGTGTAGAAAGTACATATAGATATAGTCTAGATAGATAATATAGATAGATATGTAGTATATATAGAATGATTGGATAGATAGATAGATAGATAGATAGATAGATAGATATAGTATAGATACTATACATATTATATATAGATAGATAGTATAGATAGATATTGTGTAGTATATATAGAAAGATAGTATAGAATGATAAATAGATAGTATATATAGATATAGTCTAGATATATAATATAGATAGATATTTTGTAGTATATATGGATAGATAGTATAGATAGATAGTATATATATAGTATAGATATTATGCAGTATATATAGAAAGATAGTATAGATAAATAGATAGTAAATATAGATATAGTCTAGATAGATAATATGGATAGATATGTATTATATATAGAATGATTTGATAGATAGATATAGATACTATACATATTATATATAGATAGTATATATAGATATAGTACATATAGATAGTATAGATAGATATTATGTAGTATATATAGAAAGATAGTATAGATAAATATATAGTATATATAGATATAGTCTAGATAGATAATATGGATAGATATTTTGTAGTATATGGATAGATAGTATAGATAGGAAGTATATATAGTATAGATATTATGTATTATATAGATAGTATAGATAAATAGATAGTATATATAGATATAGTCTAGATAGATAATATAGATATATATTATGTAGTATATATGACTAGATAGTATAGATATAGTATAGATAGTATATATAGATATAGTATAGATAGAATAGATATTATGAACTATATATAGAAAGATAGTATTCATAGATAGTATATATAAATATAGTCTAGATAGGTAATATAGATAGATATTATGTAGTATATATGGATAGATAGTATAAATAGAGATAGCATAGATAGATAGTATAGCTATTATGTAGTATATATAGATAGATAGTATAGATAGACAGATAGATATGGTATATATAGATAGTGTATATAGAGAGATATAATATCTATTTATAATATCTATCTATTCTATATTGTATGTGTAATATCTATATCTATCTACTATCTACTATATAATATCTATCTTTATCTATTATATATAGATAAGTATTATAGTATATAGACAGATCATATATACATATTATATAGTATATAGATATTGATATAGTATAGTATAGAATAGATAGATCATATATATACATTATATATAGAGATAGTGTATATATAGATATTATATAGTAGATAGATCGTATTCTATAGTATCTATATATACTATCTAGATAGATAGTATATAAGTATTATAGTATATAGACAGATCATATATACATATTATATAGCATATAGATATTGATATAGTATAGAATAGAATAGACAGATCATATATATACATTATATAGAGAGATAGTGTATATATAGATATTATATAGTAGATAGATAGCATTCTATAATATCTATATATACTATCTAGATAGATAGTATATATAAATAGTATAGATAGATAGATAGGTATTATAGATATAGTATATAGATAGATAGTATATAGATAAAGTATAGAATAGATCGTATATATAGATTATATATATAGTATGTGTGCATAGTAGAGAGAGATATAGTACATGTCATATATAACCTTTAAGAATAGTTACAGATCATATACTTATTTAAAGTAATAATTAGGAGGACTTGCAAAAACACAGTATAGAATAGATAGTATATTAATGCGGTTTGACACCCATTCAGTCGCCACGGCTCAATGCGATGGGAAAATGGGATTTGTAGTTTGCACTCTTTGGAAGGGGAGTCCTTGGGGAACTACAATGCCCAGGATCCCTGTCGCAAGGCATCAGTGGCACAAAACCACATTAATTCTGCAGTGTAGATGCACCCAAAGACGGACAGCATCCATTCCTGAAATAGATGGATCACTAATGTTGTTATTATTATTATTATTATTATTATTATTATTATTATTATTATTATTATTTTGCTATTTTCCTTTCTGTTTTGCAGCCTTTGCTTCCTGATTCCGAGACGGTCTGTGCCTGGCTCTTGTTGTTAGGTTTGTTGTGGTTTTTTCCTCTCTTCCTCTTCGATGAATGAAGGGAAATAAATTCAATGTGCGACGCTAAGTAATACAATTGCGGAGGAAATGAAAGGCCGGTCCGGCTAATGAGCCCTTTTCCCATCTCTTACGTCCGGCTTCGGCTGGGAGATTAAAAGGAAGGCAATCTTCATTGCTTTGGCTTGCATCCGCACTGCAGAATTAATCCAGTTTGACGCCACTTGGCTCGTGGCCAAGGAAAACCCTGGAAGATGTAGTTTTGCAAAACCCGGTCCATTCCAATGACCTCACTGCTTTGGCTCACGGCTACGGAAGCCTGGGATGTGTAGTTTTGCAAAGAGGGAAACTACAAATCCCAAGCCCCGGCTCAAGACTACGGGAATTGCCGTAGCTCAAGGCTACGGAGTTCACCACTGTCGAATGGACCACTGCTTTGGCTCACGGCTACGGAAGCCTGGGATGTGTAGTTTTGCAAAGAGGGAAACCACAAATCCCAAGCCCCGGCTCAAGGCTACAGGAATTGCCTTGGCTCAAGGCTACGGAGTTCTCTACTGTCGAATGGAACACAGTTTGGCCCCACTGCTTTGGCTCAAGGCAACGGAAGCCTGGGATGCGTAGTTTTGCAAAGAGGGGAACTACAGATCCCAAGCCCTGTCTCAAGACTATGGGAATTGCCTTAGTTCAAGGCTACGGAGTTCTCCACTGTCAAATGGAACACAGTTTGATCCAACTGCTTTGGCTCACAGCTACAGAAGCCTGGGATGTGTAGTTTTGCAAAGAGGGAAACTACAAATCCCAAGCC